CTTTGACAGAGGATCATCCTCCGCTTCAGCCATCTCATCATCTTCAATGTATGACTGTATCATGATTGGCTACTTCTGAGGACTTGTGAACCTGAAGATAAAATTTACGTCAACGCGTTACAACAATTATCTGAAGAAAACCATAGAAATAGTAGGAAAAAGATACATTATAACCTGTGAGTAGCGATGTGGGACTGGTCACTGTCAATGCTCCTAGGCCAGGCAATAAAGGATCCTATGGGCCTCCCCCCACAATTAATTTCTGGGTGGTACAGGCAACCTGAGCCTAGGGGATCCGAAACTCGTCAATGGTCACACGCACGTGCTGGGGTAATATGGCAACACCATGAATGGTCTGCCCTCCCTCAAGCACTCGTCCAACAGCCACAATGTGTGGGGGATTCCCATCAACCAACAGCTCATATTGACCACTATATTGAGTGGGGTCTACAGCAGAGCATGATCCTCTAGTGCTGACACAGGTGGTGTGGGAGGTTGTGTACGGAAACAGGCAGGGAGGAGGCGCGAGGGGAGGGAGAACGCGAGGACGGTAGGTGGAAGTGAAAAGGACCGCGGGGGGGAAAAAGGGGAGGAAACGGGTAAAAAAAAGGGGGGGGGTTGAAGAGGACCGAATGGGACACAAGATGGGATGCAACTTTCTTCAAGCGCTCTTTTATTTGTTTTTGTTCTTGTATCTGCTCCATAACGTTGATCCTTGATCTCATCTTTGTTGAGTCTTTCTCTTCCTCCCACTGAAGATCCATCTGCTCAATGTCTCCTGACTCATTGATGAGGGGTTTCCTGTGTAGGCCAAAGTTAGTCCCACGAAGACCAATCGCCCCAAGAACTCCACGTCACGTCCTGGGTGCTCGGCCTTCTAATGGCCGTTGTTTAGAATTTCGTCCCTACCTTGGCCACAAATGTGCCCTGAGTCTGCTGCTCAAAACCAACTCCATCCTCACATAAAAAAACCAGTTACTTGAAGACTGCTGTGATAGATACACAATCAAAAAACTGCTTATAATTTTGAACTTACAATTCTCTGTTCTCTGTGAGATCAGGGCCAACTGAGTAAGATTTCATGTTCCCATCAGATTTAGTCCGGCAGCCGTCCACACAAAAGCTCGTACCTATGCAGGTGTAGGTCTAGGCCGGCGACCAAGTCCCAAGGCATCCCTTGAAATAAACATTTTAATAGCTATATCTAGCTTTAGTTTTTTTTCCTTTCATGGGGGAAAAATTTAAAAAAAAAAGTTAAGCATTTGCTTACATAGTGCAAATTTTAAACTTGAATAGATTATTGCGAATAGATGAATACTATGAGAAATTAATGTGAATAAATGAAGATTGTGAATAATGAATGGAAAAACTGGTTTCTTTTTAAAATTGGTGATAATAGCATTACTTCTTTTAGTTTTACTATTTAATTGGAATTGATGAATTGATGATAGCATGGTTTAAATTAATTAATTATGTGAATATATATGAATTGAAAAACTGGTTTCTGTATTTCAGGTTTGGTTAAATGAGCTAAAATGAATCGAATTTCAAAAAGAACACGGATGGTAACGTCGTATTAATACATTGTTCGACGTTCATATATGTATCTTAACGTCCAACGATGCACTGAATGACGTTCATATAATGCAGTGGATAACGATAATAATGCAACACTAACCTTATATCGACAGTAACGTCAATTCGACGTTAACCTTATGTCCTTTCCCCTTATACTTGACGTCAAATATTCCTTTAAATATAAATATTTATTTAAATATTGGACGTCACGCTCTTTACTAGTGGACGTAACGTCACATTGCTGTACAAAATCGACGTTAAGATTACGTCCATTCTCCATCCATTCGACATTAAGATTACGTCGTTTCCCCTTACACGGAACGCCAAATATTCCTTTAAATATATATATTTATTCAAAAATTGACGTCCACTTTGACCTTCGACGTGAACATTAACGTCGAATATCTCCACATCCGACGTCAAACTTACGTCATTCCACCGTACATGAGACGACAAATCTTACTATAAATATTTATTCAAATATTGGACGTCCCGCTCTTCACTAATCGACGTAAGGTCACGTACTTGTACAAAACACATTAAGTTACGTCATTCTCTATCCATTTCGACGTCAAATGGTTCCTAACAACACTGCCGATAATAATGTTCGACGTAAATTCAACGTCACTAGAGTACTTGGACTCCGATTCGTTTTTGTTAAAAGCCAACACGAACTGACGTAATACGCTGTTTTTGTAACTAGTCATGGTCATTTAGATAAAATGAGGTTATACCAGTAACCCTTGATGGTTGACACAGACAGATGGAATTATTTTGAAATCTTAGCCATACTGAAGGAGATGGGATATAGAAATCTTAAGGAGGTGCGGTTTTCTGTGGGTGGTTATGTTTTAGAAGCTAGGTTGGAATTGTTAAGTGATGACATATGAGCAATGCATGTGGTGAGCATTGCGATATTGAATGGTCAAGCTCATTTGTTTGTGGTTCACATGGTGTTCGAACCTGATTATATTCATATGTTTCAATATCATGGTCAAGGTGAAGATGACGATGATGAGGTTGGTGAGGAGGGTGAAGAAGAAGTTCCTGAAGAAGGAGGAGGTGAAGTTGCTAATGTTGGTGAACATAAAAGTGATGAGGTTGGTGAGGATGCTGAAGGTAAACTGTTTGAACATGGTGAAGATAAAGTTGGTGAAGATGGTCAAGAAGAACTTGCTGAGGATGGAGATAAAGTTGTTGAAGTTGGTGAACATGATGAAGATGAGGTTGATGACGTTGGTGAGGATGGTGAAGGTGATGATGGTGTTTGTTATGAAGGGGATGGTGAGGATGATATCATTGGTGGTGGTGTAGGGAATGAACAAGATGATGTTGGTGGTTGTGTATGGGATGGACAGGATGAATTTGATGTTAGTAGTTGGATAGGTTCTGATCAAGACGCTTCTGTCAGTGAAGATGATTTTGTGGATGTTAGAGTGCATGGAGATGAACAACCCCAAGAAGAGCACTACGAAGGTAGTTTGTTTGATGAAGTTGGTATAGGAAGTGGATGTACTACTCCAAAGAAGCATGTACAGGCCATGGGATTATCTGATAGTGAGTGGGAATCTAATAGTGAGTGGTAATCTAATAGTGAGTGGGAATCTAATAGTTGTGGCAGTATTTATTTAAGTGATGACTCAGATCATGAAACAGCCCGATATGGAGATTTTGGGATCTTCTCAGAGCCAATTAGAATGAAAGAATATAAATGGCAACTGGGGACATACTTCCCTGAAATATGGATGTTTCTTAAAAGGCAAATATGGATGTTGCCAAACTGTTAAGTTTTCACAGACGTGTGATGACATTTTTTATGTTGATGTGCATTGTTTGATTATGTGGAGTTTTTATTTAAATTAAAGGATTATGACATGGCAAAATTGAAATGGGAATTAGGGATTTGGAAACCAGCCGCGTTCTTCATCCATTTGGAGATGACTCTGTACTCGTTCATCTTTCATTTGGTTTTTCTTCCCATAGGAGCTTTTCCTTTGTAGAACACCATGGATTTCTTCACCCCAATGGCTTTGTTAAAGAAATTGTGTTATATTTAGGTTGCAGGGTAAGGTGGCTATTGTCACTGGCGGAGCCACCAGAATAGGAGTGGAAGTAGTGAGGATATTCGTGGAAAACGAAGCATTTGTGGTCATAGTAGACATAAAGGACCAACTGGGTCACAGTTTGACAACTTCATTTGGCTCAGATAAAGTGAGTTATCGACACTATGATGTAAGAGACGAGAATGAAGTTGCAGAAACAATGGCATTCACAATAGAGAAATATAACAGCTTAGACATCATGTTCAGCAACGCTAGCATCACATGATCTTATTCATCCATACTATATTTGGATCTCAATGAATTCGACAACTTCATGGCCATTAACGTTCGTGGGGTAGCTGCAACCATCAACCCCAATAAAAAAAACATATTGAATAACCAGATTCAGTGACTCACAAATACACCAAAATATTTGTCCCCTTGTGAATGAATAGTTTAATTTCAAATATTCTCTAAATAATCAGTAAAAGGAAGCATCTTTCGGAAAAGGTTAGAGAGATCAAAAACCAAAAGACAAAGGGAATTTCGATAGCAAAAAATCAAACTTTCCTGATTGAAGATAATTGAAAAGTTCTCAACTTTACATGTTCATCTCACATACTCTCCAACAAGAAGAATTTGGGAATACATAACATGTCAAAAATTTTCCACACTAGAAAAAAAAAATGCGAGAACATTTTCCTTGACATAACAAAAATTGAAGTACATTTTTTTTGTTTTCCGCAAGAAAGCCTCCACAGGCTTAGGTGAATGCCATAAATCAAACAGTCCAAGGGATGGTCCCAGAGTTGGTCACTCCTCCAAACTTTTGCAAAGAACGTATAGAAGAACGCAGTTGGTTTTGAAATCCCTAATTCCCTTTTCGATTTTGCCATGTCATAATCCTTTAATTTAAATAAAAATTCCACATAATCAAACAATGCACATCAGCATAAACACGTTATCATAGTTTAACGCCGTCTATGAAAACTTAACAGACAAGACTTATTCGACTCAATTTTACAAGTATATGGACCCAATTGAGACCGTTAAAAAAACGAGGACCCACTTGAGATTCCCAACAAATACGAGGACCATTCGAGAATTTAAACCTTATTTTAAAATATAAATTTTTTATTTATTAAGATTTAATAATAATTGTTATGTTAATCTAAATTTTATTTTATTTCCAATTTACATTTTAAGAATAACTTTTATATCAAATTATTTTAAAAAAAGTATTTTAAAAATTAGTTTTTAAACATATACCTAAATTTTTCGTTATTTAAAAGAGTAAAAACGTATTTAAGAAAAATAAACATAAACTCCTTGTTCATTTAGCAGAAAATAAGGTTGGGCCCATTATAGGATTAATGTTGGGCTCTGTGTATGTATGTTCCACGAGCCTCCTTGACTCTCTCTCTCCCTCTCTTTCTCTTTGGTATTCTCTCACTCACCGTCCATGGCTCCTGCTATTGCATACGGATCTGTATAGCCTAACCCCTTATCACTCTCTTTTACTACATGGAAATGAAAAGCTTGAGCCAGTAATCACTATTCTTCTATCGTTTCAATTACTGGGTATGTTTCAAACCTCATTTTAGTCCTCAATCTTACAGTGCCGCCAATGCCACTTCTGAAATTTCCCTTCCACGCCTTGAACTTTCGCTTGGTTTTTCAGCTCCCATGAAAATTTTGATTTCCGAATAGGTGGATAGTCGTTACAGGTACTGGGTAGCAGTATCATAGTTTAGTTGAGTTGGGTTTGGAAGTTTCTCTTGTTTCCTGCACAGGAATTTTGTTTTTGAAATGGGCGTAGGGTGCTGGTGGAAACCCAGATTTTTGTTTTTTGATTCTTTTCTTTTGAGGTATCAATTTGATGACTTTTGTTCCATATCTGCTACTTTATTAGTGTCTAGGATAGGTGATAGGTATATGTATATGTTTTTAGTGAGCGACTTGTTTTATTTATTTGCTTTAGGAAAATCGATCTCTTTACTGTTCTCTGCTTTGTGCCAAGTTAAAGAAAGAAGCAATTATTATTGGAATTAATTGGTTCCCAAATATACAGACATTTTGTCTTCAATCTCAATCTATTTTTGTGGATTATTTTTTTTGCATATCTCATTCAATGTTGGCTCCATTTTAATCAATTTGAGTTTTCATTCAATAATTATTGTTTATAACCATCGGAATCGAGTTGTGTTGTCTTTCTTTGTTGACTCTTGTTTTTTCATCTCGTTTTGCCTCTTAATTATGCGAGTATTATTTTATCAGGGTTTTGTGATTTTTTATTTGTAGGGCAATTTTTGGCTGCTGGAGTCTTTGGTTTTTCTTGACTCATTTCCTGCTCAACATTCAGAGGTATTAGTCCTTGTGAGTTAGAACGTTTGGTCAAAGATGATTAAGAACTATCAATTGCATGCTTCAACTTTGCCAAGTGGTTTATCTTCGACCCGGATTACTCTACATGGAATTTCTGTGAATTGTATGCCCTGCCTTCCCTTTAGACCTCTGAGAAAAATCAACACCATAAGAGCTACATCAGCAGATGGAGGGCACATTGAACAATCGCCAGCTTCAGGATCAACTAATCCTATTGCTGTTGTTTTGGATATTCCTCGTAGCCTTTGGAGGCAAACGATGCGTCCATTAGGCGATTTTGGATTTGGTGGAAGAAGCATATGGGAAGGTGGGGTAGGATTGTTTATAGTTTCAGGTGCAGTACTGTTTGCTCTTAGTTTGGCCTGGTTGAAGGGTTTCCAAATGCGATCCAAATTCAGGAAGTACACAGCAACATTTGAGTTTGATCAGGCTTGTGGAATATCCACTGGAACTCCTGTGAGGATCAGAGGGGTCACTGTTGGAGATGTCATTCGTGTGAATCCTTCCCTAAGAAGTATTGAAGCTATAGTTGAGGTGCCTCTTTACTTTCTCTCTGGGATGGATATGAAACCTTGTTTGAATTGAAATATTGCTTAACTTTGAACTTTGTTATTTTAGTTCGTGTGCTATATCAGTTTAAAACTTTGGTTTCTTTTGTTTGCAGATTGAAGACGATAAAACAATCATACCACGGAATTCATTGGTTGAAGTTAATCAATCAGGTCTTCTTATGGAAACTATAATTGACATTACTCCTCGTGATCCTATTCCAACGCCTTCAACTGGACCTCTTGACCAAGAATGTTCCAAAGAAGGACTCATTGTGTGTGATAGAGAAAAGATTAAGGGTATAGAAGGAGTAAGTTTGGATAAATTGGTTGGGATTTTTACTCGTCTTGGGCAAGATGTAGAGAAAATTGGCATTGCTAATAGCTATTCATTGGCTGAACGAGCTGCTTCTATTATTGAAGAAGCGAAACCACTTCTTACAAAGGTGTGATGTAATTTTCTTATGTTACTGTGCTCGATTGATTGTAAAATATGCTCTGAAGTAGATTGCTGAATCAAGCAATTTTCTTGCCAATACAAAATGGATGGTTGCCCAACTTTGAGTTATTGCAGCACTAGAAACTAGAACAAGTTTTTTTATTAATGCTTTAGAATTTTTTGTTTGAAATTCTTGATTTTGGAATTTGTTTTTATTATATGCTCTTATTATATTGATTGTAGATTTCAGAATAAGTTGCAGATTTTACTAATTAGGATATGTTTGGTTAAGCAACATAATCAAACACTTATTCAATAAGCACTTATCACATGAGGGCTTATGCGTTAAATTTAATCATAAAAACTTATAAGCAATATAGAGATTATTTTTATAAGCTACACCAAGAAACCGATTGCAGTAAGCCTAAAGGACCTTATGTAACTCTTAAGTTAATGGAAGTACTTATGCAAAGATATGTTGTATTCTGGATACTCAATATCCACGTTCTCATAGATACTTTGTTATTTATTTAGTATTTTTTGGGCCATTCTCCTAAAGCCCAGTGGCTGCAATTGCATCGAGTTTTTGTATGCAAAAACAAACAACATATTCCATATAAAGTCATCTTATCTTTATCCAGATTCTGAGGAACTTATTATGGACTATACCCATTTGGCTTCGTTATCATTTAAATAATAATATAGTAATACATCTTATGTTAGGATATGGGGTGGCAGGGTATAATGGGTAATGGGTTTAGGATAGAAGTAAAGAGCAGGAAAGTTTGTTAGGCTATTAGGGGGAGAGAGAGAGTATAAATAAGCCTTTTGGTAATTTTGTGACGGAGTCATTTTCTTAGTATAGATAGGTCTTGAACCTTGTGAGGGGATTAGGTCTCCGTTAGGGCTAAGAGGAGGATTAGGCGTCCATTAGCGCTATTTGTGTACTTTCTTTGAATATCAATACAAATACCCATTCTTTTTACAGTGTTAATTCTTGTTTGTGTGTGTGATTAGGTTGTTTTAGTTAGGTTTTCAACTCAGGAACCTAACATCTTATGTCAAGTATACTTTTGCGACTGATACTCGAAGTGATAATGAAATTATCTATGAACTTCAGTGTCTTTGTTAAATGCACCTGTACCATATTTATGGCTTTCAAGTTTTTGTCGTTTGTATGTATGTATGTGTATATTGTTGCCTCTTATACTAATACCATACTATTCTATCTCGGATTTTCATACTCATATTTTCCATTTGATGTAGTGATGTCACAGATGAAAGCCATGGCTGAAGATGTTCAACCTTTGTTGACTGAAGTTCGTGATAGTAACCTCTTGAAGGAAGTTGAGAATTTAACCAGAAGCCTTACACAAGCATCTGATGATTTGAGGTAAGTTTGTAACCTCTCTACCATCTGTGCATCTCTAATTTGGCATTGTGATAGATAGACGTGATTGTTACTTGTAACATGTCTTATTTATATCGTTATCCCTAAAACGTTGCAATTGCATCAAAAGTTGTCTTACACAGGAGTGTGAGTGTGTGAAAGAATAGAATGCAGACAAAATGAAAAAGAAAATTTTAAACAAAGAGAAAGTATTAGGATAGGAAAAGTTGGAGAATAATCTGTAGAAAGATGAACAAAATGGATATAGAATATTATTAATTTCATTATCTGGGGGTTCTTTCTTTTCTTCTTTGAGATAATAAATGGTAAATGATATGTTCGTTTAGTTTCAAAATCAACTTGAAAAATAAGGATATTTATTGGGTTTTTGTATGAAAATGTGAAATGGATTTTGTTTGAGGGTTCTCTATAAATAATGTCAAACTTCCAGGGCCATTGCTTATCCTTGAAGATCCATGACAATAATGGTTAAGATAATTGAACTGATAATATGTCCATTTAATTTTTATTTTTAAGCTCAGAACATTAAGTATAGTGGTTTCTTTAAATCTTTTGTTGTATTCTAAATTCTAATTAATCGAAATCATTCAATACTTTTGCAGAAGGGTACATTCATCCATTATGACCCCTGAGAACACTGAACTGCTCCAAAAGTCTATATATACTCTTATTTTTACGCTGAAGAACATTGAGGTAGGACCCTCTAGATTTTAAATGTCTTAAAAGTGTAACTAACTGATTGATTTCTTTTGGTTGCTTTTTGCAGAATGTTAGCTCTGATATTCTGGGTTTCACTGGTGATGAAACTACCAGAAAGAATTTGAAACTACTTATCAAATCCCTCAGCAGGTTATTGTGAGGTCCACATTCCAATTAAAGTAGAATATAATTCAATTAGTTTGTTTCCAATGTGTTTAGCCTACCACAACATTGAAGGAGTAAATAGTATTTTGTGACTGTTCTGAGTTGTTTCTATGTTGTGCCATTTTCAACTGTGATAGAAATTTGTTTTTCCCAGTCTACAATGAGCTGCAGATATGTTATTGATTGGGGAAGCTGATTGCTATCTACACATTCTTCTTTTACTGAAATTGTTATTCATATGTGGATCATGTAGGTGACTCTTAATGATTGTCACTCACTTGACACACTTCAGCTACAATGCTTACAGCCTTTTGTTTCTTAAATCACCTAGAAAATGGAAAAAGCCATTGGATTGGAAATATAAAGCTATGATCATCAGGTTTACATGGATGGTCATCTGATATCTATACAACCTTAGTTTTTATTCATAGGAAGCAATCAAGTATACGTACATTTATAACTATTCACACGCACTGCACAACTATTTGACTCAGCTAAACCCCTTTTGTGATAATTGAGCATGTGATAGAGATATCAAAATGCCCTTTTTGTATATACACAATTTTATCGAGATGTTAGTGGTAGGTATAGCAATGTATAACGTATTTAATTTTGGCTCCAATTTTCTCATATGGTCAATTTTTTGGTAGTAATATTCCACAGCTCTTTCTTTGTTGTTTGAATATATTATAATGAACACACCACATAATACAATTGGGCATAATACAAAAGTAGTATTGTCCATTTCACTCACTAGATCATGTAATGTAACCAGAAATCAAGTTTCGTGTGGTTAAAAATAGAGTGTTGTTTCATTAAAAAGCTGAGTGTCCTAAACAAGAACACAAATATAAAAAATGAATAATTTGGTTCAAAGATAACTAGTCAGAAAATCTAAGCTCCTAAGCCTTTTTTTTGTCTTCTTATTTATAATTTTCAAGTTTTACATCATATATCTTTAAGTCTAAAGGTATAATAATTATCTAAAAATATAATAATTATGAGATACCAAGTATTCTAAACTATAAGAATGTGTTAATAAAATAAAACTTTCTAAGAGCCTTGAGAATTTGTTAATGAAATAAAACTTCCTAAGAGTGTTGGCCCAATTTTTGGAATCTAATTTTCAAAACTCTACAAAAAATTCAAAGTAGGTATTAAATGCGTTTGGATTATTCTATGGACAATTTATCTATTTTAGGATTCAGGTTCAGGGATTCTGGGACCATACAGGTGTATTTGTAACCTTTATAACATGGTCTATTTTTGGTGGAGTAGCCCGTTCTAGAAGATATTTAAGTTTTACAAATTTATATTGTTACCAGCTTATTTGTTGTTAAAATTGATTTTAGTAAAATATGTTGCTAAGTAAATGTATGATACAGTTTCAATAAACTTTTAAAATTATTGTAATAATAACTCGACGTGAAGTTAAAACTTTTATTAACTAAGCTCAAGGCACACAGGCTTCACCTACCCATAGATGGTAAACAGAGTTTTAGAGCAATTTTGATTTTTTACCGAATCTCTTTTATTATTTTTAAATATATTAAAAATAAATTAATATATTTTAGTGACACAGTAAAAAGATAATACCAAAAGTTCAGAAAATAAAATATAAACCAGACGAGATAAAGTTAGTTAAAATCAACCGTCAAAAATTGAGACTAAAATTTGAATTTATAGTTTTTAAAATCAAGAAACCTCATTGTCAAATTCAGGATAGATATTTTTATAAATAAATGGAAAGTCAACTTAGCCTAATCTTTGCATTAAAAATTTAATATCTTATTATCAATAAATATATTTTTGTATACTTTTAAGATTTTAATTTGAATATGATAATATATTTTATTTAAATGTTATTGTATATTTTAAATGTATTAATATCTTCAAACTTATTTTTTATTTTAATTTCAAGCACCATAATTTATAATATTATTCCATATGTTATTTAAATATTATAATAACTTCACTAATATTATTTAAACATTGAATCAGTGCTTTGACATATTATATAAGTATTTATTTGAAGACACTGTATTTTGACACTAACTAAATTCTTATACTCACTTAATATTTACTATTTGTTACGGGGATAGTTATTTTTAACACTTTTCAATTACTTATGTTTAATATCTTTTTACAAACTTTTCTAGGTTTTAGTTTAAAATAAAATACATTGAATTGTAAAATATTGAAGTGCGGGTACGTGAGTTTATACAATCAATTGTTAAATTATTTAAAGTGAAAAAATAATTTTATAAAAATTACAACTACTTCTATAACGATTTTTTTAAAGCCTTATAAGTGAAAAATATATAATACATTTTTAAATTTCTTTTGACTCCAATAAACTACCAGGACCAAATTCATTAAAAAAAACCTTGTGTATTATTAATATCAATTATCTTATTATTGAAATGTAATTCGAGAATAAATTTGATGGGTTGTTACAAGATAATATACCTCCAACATACCTGATGTAAAATAATAAGAAATAAAGCAAATTTGATGGTTCAAGTATTATTATATTAAGGATAATGCAAATAAACTTGTGATAAATAATTCCATTAAAATATATTATCTAAGTAAATATATAATAGTTTTACGTTTAGGAGTCAAAGCTAGGTGTAGTTTAAATATTTCTTTTTTCTTTCACTTTTGGAGGTGTCTTTAAGGAAAAAACTGTGACGAAATTTTAAGTTTTAAAACGAACAATACTTTATATATGTAGTTATTAACCTTAATGATGATAGTTGATAGGTTTGGGATTGGAATATCAACATCCATTGTGAAACTGAAAATGAGTTTTAAAGACGAACCATCGGTTCACTTAAAGCTCTACATCAGAAATTGACCATTATTCCTCTTAGACCTTGATTGAGGGGCTTATGTTCCGGTATGTCCAATAGTTTCACATCAATTAGAAGTCGATAATAAAGACAATTTAAATACTCCATTCTCCTTCCACTCTTTAAGACGTCTTTTAAGAATAAATTGTGACGAAGCTCCAACCTCCAAAACGAAAAATACCTCAAAACTTTCATGTTAAGGGTTGTAAAGTTCATATAAAACATGCACAAATGACATTTTTGTAAATAATTGGCATAAATTTACGTCGGCCCATAAGGGTTTTAACATAATTTTCTTATATTTACATCCATAAGTTCTCTCCTCGTTCCCACAATCAAAATATATGTCGAAATGCGCTTTTGATTTAGGGTTTTATCTCTGGTGACGAAATGGTGGTGGTTTGAAAGTACTTTTTGAACATGTCATGGGCATCTCAAGGGTAGTACTTATGTATGATGGGTTTCGTTGTGGAGGTTTGTTTACTAGCGTTTCCATTTTTATCTATGATCTTGACTTTTTTTTTCTGTCGAACTCAATTATGGCTGTGTGAATGTCCTTCTTTTTTATATTCCATATTTATCAAAACCAAACCATGGTTTACTAATAAAAAACTATAACAAAATGGTCTTTTTTAACGTGTTTCAGTTTATGTGAATGATTTTTTATTAAGTTGAAGGAGAGTTAGTAATTAGCGAAGTCAAATTTGGGAGAGGTTGGGTCACTCTATAGAAGATTGGGTTCTATAGGTTGAAGGGTACTTAAGCGAAGGATGAACTTCTACTTCAATGTCCTTGAACATGTACAATTCAATCTTTTTCTACAGTAATAATTTACCAATTTACCACCATGACATGAGTAAAATTTTAGTAACACCAAGTCCTGAATCACAGTAATAGAAGTTGCAGTGCAATTCAATCTGACAGATACTAGTCTAAATCAATTCCAGATAGATTTTCTGTGAAACTTTTACAGAACTCTAATATGAAAGCTAATACACAAAGATGCCTGCTGCATAAAAAAACTAAACAAGAACCATCAAAACTTTAAAAGAGCTTGTAATGGTCCCAGAAGCATTCCTGCAGAAACAGAATGGATCATAGACTTGCATTCATTTGAACAATCTTTCAAATTTTTTCTGCAACAAAATGAAGACCAAGATTGCTCTTATAAGATTCTGTATTATCAGTTTTATTTTATTCCATTCGAGAACATAATCATTTAAACTTTTCAATATTTTCTTTTCTTCAACTCTATTTCACTTCCAACAAAAAACCTCATTCTCCATCCATCTCAATAAGATCTTAAAAAATGACTTATATAATCAACTTATTCAAAAGTACTTATAACTGCTTTTAAATTCTTTACCCAATCATACCCTAAGTTATCACAAATGAATTTGACAGTGAATTTACTTGATTTCTATATCTACAATCATAAACCTGCTAGAGTCTGCAAGTAGATTCAAGAGTTTCACAATCTCAAGTTTATCATAAGCTTTCAATGCATCTCTTCTTATATTTCTCAAAGCCACCTACCAAAAAAAAATGAAAATAAACAATCATTCAAAGGAAATTACAAATAGGTGCAACGTAGTCAAAATATTTCTTGTTTATTCTAGAAGCATTCAAGATATATAGTTATTTCATGTATGACTTGCATAGGAATATTACTATACAATAACCAAACAGTATTTATAAAAACAATTATCTACAAAAGCAAAATTAGATTAAACGATATCTTACAAGCTTTTTTGTTTAAGATTGAACGAAAAAAGTGAATCTATCGTAAAGGTTTACTTTTCCAGAAGTATATTACTTTTGACCTCTACAAAACTTATGCACTTTTAGGGGAAAAAAATAACAAAACAATAACAGACCCTAAATAAACTATTTAAGATCATCAGATGACAACATGAAATCAACATATTCATCCAGACCCTAAAATATTCACTAGAATTTATGTATAGAGGACCTTTATAAAAAATATAGTAGAAATTCATAAAGGAAATAGATTGATAACAAAAACAATTCTATTTGAATTATGAGCAGCAATATACTAAGTCAACTTTTTTCCTGTAGAGATAAGTTGTTATGGGTCATGAATATATACTATGTCATTTTTTCTAATAGCTAAATAAGAAATTAGAACCAATTAGGAATAAACATACAGTGAGTGTAAGAATGTAATTTACAGAGAAAGAATGAGAGGTCAAAAGAAATCTCATAAAAGAGTGAACCTAGAAACAACAGCATCAGTGGAACTGGAAAATATCTTCCTCCTTTCGGATGTCAACTGTGGGATGCTCAATCTAATTAATTCTCCATCATTATTTGGAGTCATACCAAGATCAGTGCTAACTATTGCTTTCTCAAGTATCTTAAAAAGCAATAACCAAGGCAAAAGGGTATATATATTATATCATTTAAACATGGCTCTTTGATT